AAAAAAAATGTTGAAACGAATAAAATGCAAAGTTCTATCTATATTAACTATATTAAATGGTTCTTTTTATCTTTACAAAAGGGATTATCGTTCACATTAAACTGAAAATGCATGTCTTTCCAAATCCATTGGACGTTCTTTCTTTCACCTGTTCCTTTAATCAAGATTTTATACAAGCTACAAGCATATGTTAGATGTGCAATAAATTAACATTAGTGATGTTATTAAGCTATGATATTATGCTCCCATTATGTCAGTAATATACTTTAACATGTCAACATCATATTCTACTTAGCTGCATTTTGCTTTTATCTGCTCACTACTGAATGTACATTCAGCTCAAGCAGCATTTGTCATGTACAGTATTTACAGTGCTGGATCACACTCATAATACTCCTCTACATCATACATTTGGTACAATCACAATTTAATAACAAACAATCTAAATCACACAGGACTTGAACGTTTTGAACGTAGTCCTTTATGATGTTTGTATATTTGTTCCAAACTGCATCACTTAAATGTGAAGTATATAATTTATGAAGTTTTACATCTTTCAAACAGGTTTCTCAAACACTCCCCCATCTGTCACTGGTCGGACAAACAGATTGTCTCGCCTCAAAACTCACGCTATTGGTTGAGCCATGTTGGGCCATTTAATTTATAGAATTAATTTATCTTGGTTATGTTAGTAAAAAAATGTTAATTTCTAATTTAATGTAGAAATTATTTTAGAACATGATTTTTGAAATTAGCTAAAAATCCTCTATTCTTTATTGTTAGTATGTCTCAACTTTTACTTTGATGTTTATACAATTACAGGTGGAGTGTTATTATCATTTCAATTATAATCAGCTTTTAATTTTTAATTGTATTTATTTATTTGCCATTTTGATGTAAAATTCCAGTTCATAACAGTGATAAATACAGTCAAATTAATTTAATCATTTACACTTCTATACCAAAGTAAAGTACCTTTTTGCACTTTCTTGATATGCATGTAGTTTACATACAGGAATAGTTCACCCAAAAATGAAAAATATGTGAGGACTTTTACTCACACAAAGGCTACCGTACAAATTCAGAAGACTTGTACAAGTCTTTTAGACTTCATTTATGATACTCTTATTGTGCTTTTTGTCTATTTTGGAACATTTTGCATCCACTTCCTTGTAGGAAAACATTTGAAATTGTTTTCCTACAAGAAGGGGTTACATTTTGGAGTGAACTATTTCTTTTAAGAACTATATGCAATCACCATAAACTAACACTATGTGCAAACAATTGTCCTTTGTTGGAAAACTAGGACAGAAAAGAAGAGTCATTTTGTCTATCTCTACAGCATGGGCACTTGAGGATGAAGTTGTGTTACCCAGTGGAATTATTGGCCTCTTCATCCATCCCTTTAGACTCTGACACTTTGTGTCCAAATAGTTTACGAGCGAGGAAATTAAGCAGGCCGCAGTGGTTGGTGTAGCAACAGAAAGCATCTACTGATACCATCAGCACCAAGAAGATGAACATTACAATTCCCACCACACCTCCTTTCCCTAACGCCGGCTGACTGACTGCAAGACAAGGAGAAATCAACTCATATCACTAAAGAGTGAAAAGGGTGAACTATTTGTTAAGCATATAATGCATAATATTATTGCACTTTTTGTAATCAATCCTACCAGGTTGTGGGACGGTGAAGTTAATTTTGGCAGTGCTGGAGGTGCCATTGTGGTTTACTGCATAAACTTCCATTTGATAGTTAGCATTGTACTGGAGATTATTCAGCTGGATTTTGCTGGAGTTTCCAGGAATTTCTTTTTCAGTCCATTCCTCATTCTCATTGTTCTGTTCCAAACGAGTGACATTTTACATTTAGATATATGGCTTGTACTTCACATATTTAAACAACAAGAAAAATGCATATACTGCTGAGATAAACTGAGAAGTTTTTGG